AGCTCCGGCATGGCTTCCATGAGAGGGGGATTGCGTCGGAGGTTCACGCTCGTTGTCAGGGGCTCCGGTTTTGGTCTGTGAAAAACTGTCTGCGGCGGGATCATGTGATTGTTCCGTCTTGAGTACCTCAAATTCTTGGTTGTTGCCGCTGACCTCTTTACTGAGAGATTCCAATTGACCGGGGGTGAACTCACACAACGGAATCCGAAGGGCGCCGGTAGGTCCTAGGTGACATTTAACCGTAAACCCTTGCTTCCTGAACCGCACCCGGAGTCCTGTCTCATTATCGAGGTAGATCACCGCCCTACACGAGATGAGGAAGGGCAGGCTGATCAAGAAGGGGGCGGCCACACTCTCGGGGTTGTCGAAGACGGCCGGCGTGAAGTATGAGCCCTTCTGTCCAATGCTTGTCGGAACTGCCGCGACGACTTGGGTGCTCGAGATCCCATGGACGCTCTTGAAACGGTGAGTCTGATCTTTGGTCCTGACTGGGAGTCCAGGAGGGAGACGTTGAGCGAGTCGTTCAAGCGTCTGCCGGCCCACTACCATTCGTTGGCAACCGGTGTCGATGGTTGCGCAACATTAATCGGGATACGGGTTCGATCGGACGGGTTCGGAAACAAGTTTCGGACTTTCCCCATACATAACCCCAAAAATATCGTGATCACTACTGGAGCCACCTTCCCAAGGGTCACCCTGGAGTTCGGCCATATATGCACTCTCGACGTGAGGTGCCATCAGGCGTCGATCACTAGATCCCGGGCCGCCATGACCCGGGTCGCTCAGGCGTTCACCTCCAGGGAGAAAAGCACCCTCACCCGGGTGCTCCTCAAGGTGGCCGCAGAAGATGGCCTCTTCCAACACATGGGCCTCCTTCGGGGCTCCACGATCTCGGTCCTTGTCAGGGCATTCCTTGTGCCAGTGACCGGGTTTCCGACAGATGGCGCACTTGGTGACCTTCTTCAACTCCTCCACGGTCATAGTTCCCTTCCTTGAAGGGAGCATTGTGCCCCACCATCGTGAAGCTCTTGGTCTTGCCCTTGAAGGTGTTGGAATACCCTCTCGACAGCTCCTTCGCCTTCTTGGCCTTGAGGGTCTGCATGTAGGTCTTCTTCTTCTGCTGCAAAATGGTGCTCAGCACCTCCGCGGCCTCGTGTTCTTCGAGAACACTTCCATCGCCGTCTTCTCCATCGTGTCCTTCTTCGTCTTCACCTTGGAGGTCTTGAAGCGCCTCCTCCACGGCATAGATCTCGTCATCATTCAGGTCATTGGGCTCGGCATTGATGTAGTGGGCAGCAGCGGAGGATGTCATCCGAGAACTCGTGGTCATAGTTCCTTTCTTTTCCTTTTCAATCCCGACCTGCGAGGCCTGGAGCTTTGTCTCGTGCTTGCGGATCCATTCCCGGATGTCTCCGGGTTTGATGGACCCTCGAGAGTAGTTGAGGAGCGACTTGATGTCGGCATCGGAGAGCACCAAGGCGTTGATGAGCAAGAAACCAACGTACCGTTCGGGAAGAACGACGGAGTGCTCAGTCACCTTCCTCATTGCCACGTCCCAGCGGCTGAAGAAGGCTCGAAAGTGCTCATCCTTGCCTCGGCGAAGATGGAAGGTGATCTTCGCCAAGGCGGCCAACAGGTCCTCCTCGCGGTCCTCACCGAAGTTCTCGGGGAGCTCCATGAGGGCGATCAACTCATCGCCATTGCCATCGCTGGTCATCCACGCCCGATCCCGGGCGAGATATTTCATGGTCTCGAAGGGGGTCTTCGTCAACTTCTGAAGGAGTAGCGGCCCTCATGCACGGGGACGGGCCTTGGTGGTAGCAAGCCACAACCTGGCCTTGATGGCATAGTCCTGAAAGGCCAAGGATTCGCCATCCCACTCTGGCGGTGGCCCATTGCTTCCAAAGCTGCTACCACCGTCGCCCAAGTCACTATCGGCACTCCTGGTCGAGCTGCCATGGCGCCGCTGGTGTTGGCGGTGTGGATACCGGGCTCGAAGAAATGCCCGGAACTCATCACTGTCAAAGGCCTCTTCGGCCAGTTCCTCTTCATCCAAGTCACCAGGGCGTGGCAGCCCTTCATCAAACTCATGGCCTTCCGGCCTCGACGAACCATCGGCTGCTGTCGCAGCCGCAACCGGGGGCATGGCTCAAAGCGAACCACCAACCAGGGACAACCCCAAAACACCCCGAGCCAGGTCCAAGGGCCGAACCTGGCTCCGCTACCACTGTGGGCAGCAAGACCTTTTCACATGTGCATTGTCCCCTGCACATAGGGCCGCGTCGGGCCACCTCGAGAGTTAAACATTTCGGAATCGTGATTTCATCCAAAGCGACATGCTATTCACAGAAACATTCACAGCATGAGAGCCACTTGTTCGCCTGTAGCACTATGCTTTGACAGCCTAGTTTGTCTCAAGGTGATAGTTACAAACACAAATCTTGTTCATTCAGCGCTCGCCGAAGACACGCGTGATGTAGGTGATCCGTAGACCACCCTCTTTGGAAGCCAGTCCGCTGGAAGTACAAACTTGGCGCAAAACGGCCACTGTTAAGCTGTTCACTTCCTGCTCCAGCCAATTCTTCCCATTCACCACACTGCCATGATGCAAAGCAGCCACACGCTCGACCATCTCATCCGACACCTTTTTCTCATGCGGTTGAACCTGCCCAAAGAAGTGTGCCATCTCTCTATAGAAGGATTGTAATTCTTGCCCAAAACTTATTGCAACCATGTCTACTTAAATATTTCACAGGAAAATTGAGAGAAGTGTTTAGTTTTTCCACCCACGAAATCTACACAGCAATCCAAATCGAAGTACAAAGTGACCACCACGTCCCCACCCAACCTCTGGCAAGAACTCTTGGTGACCAACTCAGCTTTTGCCAAAGAGCGACCACCCTCTGTGGAAGCCAGTCCGCTGGAAGTACAAACTTGGCGCAAAACGGCCACTGTTAAGCTATTCAATTCCTGCTCCAGCCAATTCTTGCCATTCACCACACTGCCATGACGCAAAGCAGCCACACGCTCGACCATCTCATCCGACACCTTCTTCTCATCCGACACGGTGGAAAGCGCCATGATCAGATTGATTCCATGTGAGTGCAAACCACTCGGACCTTTTCTTTCTTGAGCCAAACGTTGCCAAGTTAATGGCTTGTTGAAGGGGCCTTCAAGAGTGCTTGGTACACTTCTTGTTTTGTGCGACCTGGTTTCCGACTCGCGCTCCCCCCGACCTTCAAGGTCGCTACGGCCAAAAACTCACATGTCCCTAGGCCCTCTTCGCACCAGGAACAGCGAGTAACCGATCCAGCTTCCTGGTCCTGAGATTTCGCTCCGGCGCCAGTCACTGTCGATCAAAACTCGACGACTCCATTCCTAGCCTTTCCAGGCGAAAGATATCCTCATAAATTCGAAATCGTTGCACTCTGGAGGTGCCATGATAGCGGATGAGCCATCGGACGCCGTCCATCTCGATGTAATCCCGTTTGTCACTCCGATGGACTGGTTTGTAGAATAGCGCTTCTTCTTCGAGGACGTCCTGCACAGCATCCAGCACCTGTGGTGTCCAGAACACCGAGTCCTGGAACTCCATTTGGTCAGGCCTCAGCAACATGGTTGGCGGAGCTTTTCCCGGCCTGTTCCAAGGGTCCGCGGCGGGCTGTTGCATCCTCGGGAGCCTCTAGGCTACTGTTATGGTCCCTTGGGGGTTGTTCTTCCGAGATGACGTCCCCAGGGTTTTGCGTGCGGCCCGACGCATTGGAATTCATGGCCTCTTCTTCATTTCTTGCGTTTTCTTGACTGGTCCGTTGTTGCGACCCGGTCTGGTCTGTTTGTTCCCTTGCCGGCGTCAGCCGCAGGGTGCACAGGCGAGGTGGGGGTTGAGAGGAGTGTTCATGTGACTTCAATTCATGTTGAATTCCCCTGTCGGAAAATTGTGAACACTCCCCCGGACCCTGACACCCGGCAAAAATCCCACTACTCTTCACTACATAGGCCATGCCAATCGCCAAAGCTGCCACCAATGCCGCCTGCAGGAAACGCTAAATCAATCTGGGATTCACGATGGTCTCGGCGCTTTTCTTGCGAGGGGATCACACTGTGCGCCCAGTGGGACGACACAGCGATACACACTTAGTCACAGGGTTTTCAGTTAGCCATAATCCACAGCGAAATGGATGAGGGAAACGCGCGGCGGCTGAGTCAGCAACATCACTTGATGTGTTTGAACATCGGTTGGAAATTCACGCAAATCAGCAGCTGCAGAAAGCGGCGGTGGGAAATGTTTTTGGGGTCTATCGTGAGAACAATCATGGAAACAAAACACAGCAGCGGGAGCAGTGGTGTCAGTGTGTTGATTGCAGGTCCGCCAGACTGATCAGGTCTGGTATCACCACCGATTGCAAGTGTCTTCGTTGGCAGGAGACTTGCAATGGCGCTCCTGCCCCCTGCAAGACGAAAAACCTATCAAAACTCCTGGAGGCGGAGGGTGACGCACACACACACGCACACGTAGATGGTTGCTCGCAAGAGCTAGGTTCAGAATGAAGCTCCCCTTGACTTGAATGAACTGAATGGCGCAGGAACCGCAAGAAGGTGTTGTAACAAGTTTTCCTCAGCTCATTGGACCTTTAATGCGCAACACCGCATTGGACAGCTTGAAAAACCATTCAAACATATGTAGCAGGTACGTCAGTTCCGCGTCCGGAACTGATATCCTCACCGGGTATTGCCAGCTTCGTTGGTGGAGAAGCAATACCGGTGTGGGTGTCTCCACCCCCGCCTCTTTTTTGACTCGCGCTGTTTTTGTTTTTGTTTGGTTCCCAGTAGTAAGGCCAGAAGCTGCTAGTAGCGCCCAGCCCTCTAGTGGAATCCACGGCAGACTTACCAGGTACAAATCTTGGAAAGAGGTGTTAACAGACACACACACACACACACACTGGGCTGACGTTGTTTGCGGTTGGACGTGGGATGTTGCGCCAACGCCAGCCTTTTCTAAGGAGTCACCTGTGGCGGCGAACGCTTCAGGTGCAAACTTTTCAGTTTCCTTCATCGAGCCGTTGACTGCCGCCTACTTGACCCTGGGATTGGGCCTGGTTGCGTCGCGGGAAGGAAAGCGCGCAAGTTCCCTGACCCTGCGGCCCTTCGCAGACCAGTAGGGATCCAACGTCAATTTGTGTTCCTGAAACCGCCTGCGAAGGGGTCTCCGTCCAACTTCAAATTATCATCGTCACCGTCATCATCATCATCATCATCATCATCATCATCAAACAGGTGCACAGACGCAGGCGATGCCTCGGCTGTAACCCCTACGACAATACAGGTGTTTGGATACGCAGGTGTTGAATGTGTTGAGATACAGGCGCAGACACCTACTTGGTGGATGGCTTCGGGTTATGGAACTTATAAGTTAGTTATGGAAATTCAAAACTTATAGAGACTTACAAATTAAGATATGTAGCTGTTGAATTCGTCCAAAAGTTAACTACGTTTAACTTATGAAACTTTTACTTTAATAAGTTCTCGGGACTTAGCCAGAGCCAGACACTACATTTTCACTTTTTTCTGACAAGTCAACAAAACAATGTTATTTTTTGCGCAAAAAAGTGGTTTTATGCTTATTGTTGTGGATCTCAATGGTGGGAGCTGCCGTCAAAAGCTCTAAAGCTCACAGGGTGTTCTACTGCTACCTGCACTTGCAAGCCTCACGCAAGGGATACGTCAACATGAATTTCAAAAGGGCTTGATACGATCGTATGCCATTTGTCAGTCGATATTTAATCAATTTCCAGCGCGGCCCCATTAAAGCAGACTGAATTCCCTATATGGAACAATTATATGGTAAGTAAATGCGTCTCAAAGGTTTCAATTTGCCGCCTCCCTGCAAAAGGATTCATTTGTGGTAGGTTTGGTTAAATTCATACACGCACACACTACGGCAATTCTTTAATTAAATTGATCAAATCTTGGTGACCAAGAAAGTGAAGAAAAATGCCAACACACTCAAGAATTTGCGAATGTAGGTCGATGTAGCCTAATGGCCTAATGTATAACCCAAATACGCGAGCGGGAGTCCTTTGACTTGAAAAGGCCAGCTTCTGCCACATGGTCCGCATCTCCGCTCAATAAGGATGGCAAAGTGCCAAGGTGAGCCGCCATGGAATCACTCCGGTCCGTGCCTCGGAAGGTTTCTCGAGGCTCTGCTGAATCTGCTGGTTGGGTCTCAGGGCCCCAAATCGGACGATCAAGCTGTGTTGTTGCAGCAAGGCTAACATGCAAGTCAACATGGTTTGGCCAGAAGAGGAGTTTGGTCCTGACTGATCTCCAATTGCTTCTTGGTGGGATTCCATTGCAAACATGGAAATCGAAGGAGGGGGGGTTCTAGGAGGACCGTCAGAAACTGGTGCGAGTAGTTTCTGGACTCGATGGAGGAGCTCCTCCAACAAGACCCTCAGCACCTGGATGCGAAGGGGCACGGTCCTCTCCGTAGGAGGTGTGGAGTGCCACTCGGTGGTGCTCTTCATCATCTTCACCATGGGACTTGGTTCCGGTGTGTCCGGGTGAAGGGCCCTGCGCCGACGATCTCCCAAGGCCAGAGCCACTTGTTTGAGAACTGGGCAAGTGTGCGTCTTGGACTGGAACTCTGCTTTGCAGTATGAACATGGGGAGGTCACACGAGCTCTAGTAGTATTGGGAAGGACTTCATGAACCAAGTTCGAGGCCCCCACATGTTCCCTGGCCATATGTGCACTCATCTGCTGAGTACGCGCCGCCCAGCAGCCGCGCAAGACACACCTATTGGTCAGGAAGTTGCACGGGACTTCATTCTCCTTCAAGAGCTGAAGGTCGCCAGAGTCGAAGATGTTCAAAAGGCGGCGTCGGTGCTGAGAGAGGACCACAGGCGGTGCCTTGGAGAGTTCAAGGGAAGTGCATGAAAGAGAAGAGATGTGATGTCGAAAATTCTGCCAACTGATGAACGCTACACCGCAGTGTCTACAAATGGGTCGTCCATTGACTGCGTCTCGTGAGATTTCCACGGTTGGTCCAGGCAGCTGCGCAATACCATGTACATGTATGAGATGTCTGCGCAAAAAGAAATGAGATTTGAAGTTCTTGCCACAGCGATGACAATCCAAGCCTGCGTCCGCCAGGCTCTGTGGATCATCAGCATCCTCAGTCATCAGCTGGTCCTGGTGCCAGCAGGTCAGGAGTTCAACCGCGAGATGGAGGTGGCGCACTAATGACAGATGGGGAATGTCTTGTGGCATGAGTGTAGCTTTGCGCTCCTCCCAACGAGTAAGCCGGGACTGCAGCCGCTGCAACAAGATGCTCACTGGATGCTGCAGACCATGTGCGCGCAAGGAAGCACAATGTGAAAGGCGCGCCCAAAAAAGAATGGTCCCCACCAATTTGTCGAACTTGCATCATCATCTGTTTTTGAGAAAGAATCAAAGATTGTGGAGAGACACCTAGTGCATCAATGCCATAGACCACAATAGAACACACACAGGTGGTCCCCCATGCATGCTTCTGCTCCAATGTCAGGCGGTTACCCTTCTTGAGCCAGGGTGCCATTTGACGAAACCGTCGAACGCAGGCCCCCATCCGGCGTTGCATGGACAAGTTCAACGTGTTTTTGTAGCCGCTCATAGTGACCAGTGACTCCAGGGATCAGGAGAAAAGCCTGTTGTCTTGCAGGTCCAGCTTTTCCAAGCCCCCTTGAGTTCCAGGAGCGCGGCTGATTTGGAGAGATTGACAGTCATCCCCATTGCACTCAGCAAATCCAGCACAATTCCAAAGCATCTGAGACCATTTTCAATCTGTTCAACAGAGGAGTACTGGAAACAGAGATGGCCGTCGTCGGCGTAAAACGTGCAGGCTGATCTCATCCACTCCGTGGAAGTTGCACATGCAACCTGTTCCAAGAGGAGAGCAATGTACGAAGCCCAGAAAAAGGGAGCACCGCGGCAGCCTGTCTAACCCCGCGATCGGTGTTGATGGAGGCGCGCAACCCTTTGTAGGTCAGGATGTACTGGGCCCAAGAAAAGTTTGCGCCCTCCAAACAGTTTCGGCTTAGGCCCCTCAGGAGGCGTCAGCCGGCTTGCGTTGTAGCTCCATTTGGCACTCAGATCCTCGATGGCCTCCACATCACCAAACACGGCAAATGGCATCCCATGTACCACGTTGTGGCAAACAAGCAAATTGTGGATAGGCCACCAAGTATGGAAGAGCATCCTTACGAGCATGTTGCACAAACATGAACATGATGGTGTTTGCAGTGCACTTGGTCGCAACGCATTGGATTGGACTGGAGCCTTGTTGGGCTTGGTGAGGAACACACTCCAGCCGCTGCGCCATTCGTCAGGCAGCTGTCCAGCGCGAAACCAAAGGTCACACCATCCTGTCAGGAGGGAGCTTAAAGGAGAGGCCAAGATCTTCATGTGTGAAGGTACTGCTTTCCGGCCATCCACCAGTCTCAGTTCCTTCTCAAGTTGATCATCCGTGAATGGAGACGATGCAAGGGAGAAAGGAGGAAAGGGAAAGGTCGTCGTGTATGCGCTGAGCTTTTGCATTCCGGTGAGAGAAGTTGTCCATGGGGTTCACGAAGTTAAGGTCTTCGATCAAAACACTTGGGGGTCAATTGCTGAACAGTGCGGAAGTAGTGATGAGTGCGATTACCTTGTTCACAATCTGTTGGACCCGTTCACGTCTATGTTGTTGAGCTTGTTTACGCGCCCGTTTCCTCCATTGTTCACGTTTGATCGCCCGTCTCCATTGGCAGAAGACACCAAGCAGCCAAGAGCCATCAGCAGGAGCGCTCCAGGGTGCAGCCGGCCAGGAAAGTGCCCAGGCCCATTTGCGCTCCGGTTGATCCTGAGGGGCAGGTGAAGCACGGAAGGTTCGGCATGCGTCCATGAGAATATCGTTGAGAGCTGAGAGATCAGGTTCTTGCGGGGAAAGTTCCTGGAGCTTGCACGTCGCCGAATATTGAAGGTCCTGCCAAGCGGAAACGTCCTCCGTTGTGTTCTGGAGAGTCCAGTGCTCGGTTTCGGGGCATAGAAACATCTCCATGGGATGCCGCCTAACAGCGGAACATGATCGCGATGAAGGCCCATCATCCTAGGCAAGTCATGTATGTATGCCACCTGTTTGGAAGCACTGTCGCAATCTCGTTGCTGCGCCAGAAAAAATCAATCCTTGAGTGGGCCTGTTTGGGCCCGACGTATGCGGCGCCAAGTTCACCAGACCACGTACAGGATGTCTTGAAGAACAGGTCGGTCAATATGAGCCGGTCCCTTCATGCGACAGTGAGGAATGTGGTCCAAACCTCCTTGCGGCTGTCCAGCCTGGCAGGGTCTCCCGGGGTCAAGGGGTATTGATACAGGTTGATGACGCCCACGTGGATGGTACCTTTGTACAGGCGAATGTGTTGCAACGGACTGGTCATAGGGGTCTGGTCAAAATGTGCGAGAAACAACAGTCACCAACCCGCCACGTCCTTGAGTGGCGCCAGAATGAAAGTATGCATATTTATCGCCCATCCATTCACCACTAAAGTTCCAGCCAGTGTCTTGGAGGCAAAGACAGTCCAGGGATTGGTTGCGCAGCCACGCTCTGATCCAATCCCGTTTGACCATGCTGAGTTGACCTGTCTAAATTTGGAGAAGGGTTGACAAGGTGAGGAGCTTGAGAAAGAGACACATCTTGGCAATCGTCGTCAACAACAATCCCACCAGCATGAGGCTCCTCATTTGCGTCCTGGCCGGTGGAGAAATGAGGCGCTTGGTTGGCGTTCAACTGTGACGAGATTGTGGTGACTCCCAACTGTTGAGCCGACAAATAACGGCCCCTGTACCACGTCATGCCACGCAGCGCCGCCCGTTTCAAGGCGCGCGCGTAAGCTTTCTTGCGAGGCGCACAAGTCCGTGCACACGAGGGGAGTGGAACAGCAACGGAAATGGGTCGAGTTCCATCTGGCTTCGTCGAAGCTGCATGCTGAGGAGTCCATGTGGTCTGGACTTCACCTGCTTTGATGGACGAGCAGGAACCCTCGGGCCACCACTCTTTGGCATGAAT